TGATAACATACGGAGTACTCCGTGCGCAACTTGACATCTATACGTGTTAACCACAACGGGTTAAGTGCAACAGCACAAAAAATGGCGCAGGGACAAGAGATAGGCATCTGTGGAATAAAATCTACATTTACATAGCGTTGTCACCTGTGCATATTCTGGCAGATAAACCGTCAATGATCTCACTTTTGAACCAATCGTGAGGAAATCCAACTGTTGGATGAGAATATCACTAGTTCGGCTCTTGCACCTTGCAGAATATTGTGAACCTGCCTTTCTCCTTTTTGAGCAGCAAGCACATCAAATCCTAGTATATATCCCTGGAAAAATTTAATCTAGCCGCTGTCCTAAGGGTTCCGCAGGAGATTCCTCGTGGCGGTCTGGGAATTGGCAACACAGATCTGATCTCAACCACTACCCCATGTCATCATTTGTCTACTGTTCCAGGGTCATTTATTGGTGTTTTGTCAAGTACTCTATAGATTCTTTTCCCCCTAGGGTTAGGGTTTGATATGATAGAGTTAGGCTTCATGGGGCTCGAAGACATCATTCTACATATGTATGTCCCATGTGCGAATGTTGAATGGCAATCCGCCATTTGCGCGCGATTTATGGCTGGCCAATTTCACTACAACTTTTCCCCGCTCTTCTATCTCTCATGCATGTTCTGACCGCAATATACTGTGTCTTTGAGTGTTAAATGGATTCGCAATTGAGTTGGATAAATCTGTCGAATAGATGGCATAGCGTTCGGGGAGATGACCGAAAGTAGCTACTCTCTCAATCCAAACATATAGACACAAGGCCAGATTGGACATCACTCTTTCATAATCTATGATCCTAGGAAACGCCAAGCAGATCGAAAGTTAATCCAGCGACAACCCTTTTCGGACGCGTCCGGTGGGGGGCCCTTGGAAAAGGCCTAGGAATATGAGGGACTACGGGGTTCAGGGTATCGGGGTTAACGGATTATAGAGCTGTCGAGAGGGGCTAACAAAGTTTCTTAGTCTACATAGTTAGTCCCTTCACCCTTCTTTTATGCTGGTTCTCATTCTCAAATGTGGATATCCTTCTCCATCATGCTAACTACAACACTGATTAGTCTCTTAACCATCTGTCTCTTCCTATCATGTTACCATTATGAATATAGCAACAATGAATGTGATAAGAATAACTTGAAACGAAGATATCTTTAGAAACACTTGAAACACTTGAACGGGCGATCAGGAGGTGAACAAGAGTTAACATGAAACGCCGTTTAGTAGTGAGACCGTGAGAGATCTGTGCATTTTGTGCATTCCAAAAGCAGTCGAGTCAGCAGACTGAACTGCGGCCAACCGAAGATTAATGATGAAGCTTATCCTCTTCTGTCGAGGTATCCGCCTTCTAGAAGATCTTGGAAGGAAAGTAGTGGGGGGCTTGAATGGGTAGATCCTGGTTGTCAATCTGCGGTTCATATTTATTAGGGAAGGCGTTCATCAGTGCGCAACCAGGTGCAGCAGTGGCTCGGAGGCCTGAGCACCATATTTGTGAATCGGAAGCGGGATTCGGGAGTTGCAGATTTAGTTGACAGGGCCGTTTAGCTATTTTTACCGGTTATTCTTACCGATAATTCCCCCGTCGCGGCGGAGAAGCTTCTCTGCATCTCTCATTTTTGGTCTTAGCAATTTAGAATTCAGTGAAATGCACTTGCATCAAATTTAAAAGCATGATATCAGACTAGTTGACGTACACGGTACCAACTATAGACCTTCAAGGATAGGGTGTTGGGAATGGATTTCAAATATCGAATATGATTTGGTATACTCCATACTACTGACTAGATTCTACCCCCGAGTCGGCGGAAGAAGCTTTGTTGCCATCCCAATGTTATTTCTTTGATCAGTTTAATCATTCCAATATAGAATACATTTTGGCTCAGCCCCATAGCAACCAACATATTGACCAGGACGAATAAGATGCTGACAGGAATGCCTGGCAAGACCCATATAGGAGATTTTTTTTAAAAAAAAAAATAGTAAAAGAAAAGATAAGCGCAAGGCGCAGGCCTGTACCAACACCATATGTCCCCGCCTTATTTAGGCGAGGGGTAATCCATATAGCCGTGCAGTGCAGGTCTCAGCCATCCAACACTCGAAGATCACGCATGGCATCTGCACGCTCTCCACTATTCTAGCAATTGATTGACATTCTGCGTCCCCTCCAGGTGGGGTTCGCGAGTCCGGGCAAGGACAGGGTGTAAGAACAAACAAAGAAAACCATGCATGGCCAAGACTTCAACACGACGAGGAGCATAATAACATGGCTGGTTCCTGCGTCTAGGAGCCTAAGGGCCTACGAGCCCACGAGCCAGTCCCTGGGGAATGATAATTTCCCAGAAAAGCTGCAGGGTTTGGTTAGTCTCTCACCGTACATTGTAAACAGCCACATCCAATGTTTGGAAGTATTCTAGGACCCAGTGACCTATCTTGGGGTCGAGCAAAAAGCCACCGTCAAAGCAACGTGCATCTTGGTTCGTGTCTGTTACGCCCGAACAGGAAGTATGTCCTGATGTGTCCAAGTAAGCGCGAACCGCCGTGCAGGTCATTACTAACAAGAAGGTTCGACAATATTGGTCGGGGAGATCTTCCAGGGATGTTGATTTCAATTAGATTAGTTTATGACTCCCCGTGGCGTTGGATGGAATTCACCGGTAACACTGGAGATAAACCTGGAGATGGACTTGGACCTAGACCGAGAGAAGGCGAAATTGAATATCAAGCATTACAAATGATAGATCGACGTTATCGTGCAAGTTAAATTCCTGTGCAATGCGATCTATTAATGTTGAAATGTCACGAGCCGAGAGTATCCGCGGAGGGAAATCTCAAAGGAGTAGAAATGAGGGCAAGGGCAGGTCACGCCCAGAGCACAAAAATGCCAATGCCAAGATTTAATCGAGCCATTCCTGGCCTGGGGCTTCGCCGGATACATCACCCTCGCGGGAGTCAACCAATCAACATCCATGTGGCGCTGTTGACTTTTGGTTTTCTTTTCCTTAGATATTCATTTTAACTCTGGAAATTAATCCATGGATGTCAACTTACCGTCGATCTATAACGACCCACTTTATATCCACTACAGCCGCCATAGGACCCGTGGACGGAACCAGAGTTTCCAAGGTTCCCCCCGAAAGCTCAGACTGGTATCCCCGACAATTATTAATTATGGTGCCCTACGTCCACGGGTAGAAAGGGAGAAAAAAAAGGACACATCAAGTCCCCGAGTCCCCGAGCCCAGGTTCACGAATCACGATGTAACTATCTAAATCTAGACTATTGCCTTTTTCTATGTAGCACTCTATGGTTGATTATCTGGGCAATCTATCTGGGGAACTTGAGGGGAGATAGGTTTGTTTCTTCTAAGCTTGGTTGATTGAACCGTAGGATATGCCTCTCTAGAAAAGGTTCCTTCATGATTTGATATCGAAGTAGATGAGTTAATCGAATATAATAACTCCATATGTATATAGTGGGGGTTGTTAGTATTGCTATAGTTCACGTTACATGTCTTGCAAGCCTAGCCTCCGCTAATTTAGCTAAACGTCTCCTCAATTAGAAGATGGTATACAGTATCGTATGTATATAACGCCTTGGCAGCGAGCTACATGTTTTTTGTACTTCAACTTCCCATTCGTCTCCAAGCTAGCATCTTTCTGGATACTTTCATCACCTATGTGTTTCTCTGTGATTGCTTTTTCTCGAAGGTCAAAGTGCTGAGATGTATACAATATAGAAAAGATTTTTTTTTTCTAAAAAAAGAAAAGAAATATTTCAACGACCCTGTATGGAGCATTCAAGTTAAGATCATACTAATGACATTTTCCCAAGCATCTGACATCTAAGCCCCTCTCTTACCCCGGCTCTAGCTGTCCCTTTTTCTATTTGCCATTTGAATCTGGCCTATTGCATCCCCGGGTATCGGGCGTTAGAAATTTCCTACAGGTCCGTAGTCTGCCCCTCCAGTGCAATGGCTCCATACTGGGGCCTATGGGGACTCTCTTGCCGGGGTTCTTCGGTGTCTTGTCAAGCTTCCAAACTTTCTTCTTTCTCTTCAAGTTATTTGTAGTTTTGTCCAAATTTGGCACAAAGACCGTTTGAGATATTTGCGGGAACCGTTGAAGGATATGCCATATCAAACTATTTTAGATGTTCAATGAAAACTCCATAGAAAATTGAGAATATCAAGCCAATAGTAGATGATTGATCTAACTAGGACAAAGAAGGTAATCAATCTGCCCATGAACGCCTCCACTAGATTTAGAGTAGAAATAGAAAAAAGGAATTATAATAAAATAATATATAATAATTACAAATTATAAATTAGATAAATAAAAAGTAGATAAAACATAAAATATATAAAACTATAATCATTATAATAAATATTAATTATATACAATGTACAAAACATTATATGACACTAACTAGAAACCAAAAAGAAATAGATCCACGCCATGCGTACTGTATTCCAGGCCTTCTTGAGTCAGTTTCAGCCTCTAGCTGTTTGCGTATCTCTTCTCCCATCTCTGTCGACTATATTTATTTCGAGACCCGCCCATCTTTCAATCTTCAATCTTCAAGTCTTTGGCTTTTTTGTCTCTCGGATTCTTTGAACTTGGAATCCACATATCCACCTAATTTTCATACTTAGTTACCGTTATACTTAACTTACATTCACACACACTCTTCGTCCAATTGGATTGTTGCAGTGTTTGTCTCACCTACCAGCAGATCTATCTGCAATCGTGTTTGAGACCTTCTTTCAGGGGAGCCAAACTGCAAGACAAACCCATCATTTTGGTTAGACAACAGAGAATATCTTTCTTCTACATCTCTTCCACTTCTTTCCTCTTTCTGGAAAATCTCTTTCTCTTCTTTACTCTCGCTGGACTAGCTTTCTAGCGATTCAACCAGTATCCAGCATATCTTTTTATCCTGTCTCCCAGAATTTAAAAGATCACAACAATGACTTTGGTGGCAAGACCCATTCCTCCTTCACCTCCCCAGTCCCAAGACGGACATCCCTTGTCTGGAGAGGAGTTCGAAGGCCCTAGCGTGTACCCACATCTGTACAACACCATGAAGATCACCGGCGAGGAAATGAATGGCCAGCCCCAAGCAATGGTGAGTCTCTTATCTTCTGGCTGTTGCCTGATGGCAATACTAACCATCTCAGCACTACGGTTCTCCTTCATTCTATACCCCCTCCAGTTTTCCTCACAACATGCCTCCTCAATCGGTAAGTGAAATTTCCATGTTGCCATTTGACCGCGCGTGAGTCTGATCAAGATGTGTAAAATCAGATTATGATGTCCAGTGCTCAAGTCACCACGCCTCCTCCGGTATCTGATGAATGTCTCATCCCAATGGGGTCACCTACCATGAGGAGCCCCTCGCCACCTTGGTCTTCACGAACCACTCGCGGCAAAGCAACAATCAAGGCAACCAAACAGCGACGCAACCGTAACCGGAGAGAACTCTCCGATTCAGGTATCAAGCTCGATGGACCAATCAGTCAACTCACTGAATCTTTTCACAATACTCCAATCAAAGACATGGACGCTTGGGTGTCTCGATCTGCTCAGGAGCGACAGGAGGAAGTTCGCAAGAAGAATGGAAAGATCTCCCGGCCCATGAATTCCTTCATGCTTTACCGATCTGCATATGCAGAGCGCACCAAAAGACTAGTGGGTGCAAACAACCATCAAATTGTCTCAAAGGTCGCAGGTCAAGGCTGGAAGCAAGAGCCCATTGAAATTCGCCGAAAATACGAAGACCTGGCGAAGTTAGAACGTGATAACCATGCCGCAACACATCCAGACTACAAGTTCTCGCCCAACAAAACCCCAAATGCCACTAGCCGACGCGATAGCGGCTCTCCTTCAGTCACACCAGGACGTATGGGCGATGATGGGAGTTTCTCTGACATGGAAAGTGACATTGGATCGACTATCGGACCATCCTCCTACATCCACTCTCGGTCACAAAGCTTCGAAGAGGCCTACTATGATAGTAGCCGGGATTCCTCGCCATTTGGGCCCGACTCCATGATGACACCCGGATATATTCACCCCTCCTGGCAAAACACAAGCCACCCAAATGGCCTTCCAAATAGCCACCCAATGCTGGAATCCTACGCTGGAGATGTGAACTATCGTTCCACCAGCCCAACCCAGCAGGATATTGGATATGGATCTTCCCTTGCTGGGCTCCCTGGTGCTGCACACCACGAGTTGCTCCAGCCTCAGCTTACCCACTCGTCGCATGGTCTCCCCATGCACGACATGGATCCTCGACTTCTTAGCAACGGCGGCGAGTCTGGGGTTGCCACCATGACCGGCCCTTCCTATACCGCCACTCCTGGTTCTTATTCTAACTGGGCCGATGAGACTCAACCCGGATTTTACGTAACCTCATCGGCGCCGTCCATGTCTCCCAATACCATTTCATACGCCCATCCTAGCATGACCTCTGCCTACCTCCCCAGCATGCAGAGCCTCGAGTGCCGGGATCCATCATGGGACATGCCTCGTCATGAAAACATGACTGACCCAACCGGCGCTGAGTTCGAGTTGTGGTGCTCTGCAGAGCCCAACGCGAACAACTACTGAGCGCTGACAGATAATCAAACGATGCCCATGGCTATCTCCAGGGCCTTTCATAAGTCTACCGCGACATTGCATGTAGGCTGACCAACTTCTTGCTAATGTAATCCTGGACGAGAATATGAGCAGGAGTTGGCCACGCCGATGGGCTTTCTAAAACAAAAAAGCTCAGTGGAAAACGGAGTTTGGGCTTGGGGCGTATGGGGTCCCAGAATATTTTCCTTGGTTCGGTCTTTTACTTATCATACTGTCATGCCAATCCATCTGGCATTTGTGTTACTTTCATTTGATTTCGAGATCTGCCTGGAAATTGATTCAGTACTTAGGGTGTTTAGATTTCTGTTATTTTTCACATGGAACGAATGATGCTGGAGGGACTCGCGATCTTTTTAATGCATTGATTTTACCTACTCAAATATCCATTCCAAATTTCTCTAATTCAAAAGTAATTAGATATTAAATAAATAGCAGTGTTTATTGCCAGTAATCTCAGCCAGGTTGGTACTTCGTGCCCACACGGACCTTCTCTAGGTCATCATCCCTACTTCGTACTCTATGCTATAAACGGCAGTGATATCCCCCCTAGCACGATCTCAGATCCTCGGATCTTATGGCATTACATCAAATATCCTTCCATTATGTTCTATCACACTCTATCACACCGCTACTTAGAGATTCGTGCGTAGTTACCATATGCCACAACGTCCTAATGGGGCAATATGTCCGTCTTCTTTCCCGTATTTTTGTGCCTACCAGCTTTCCAAACTTATGTATCTCATTACCGCAAAAAGCATTGGCTGCCATTACATGAGAAATTGTACTGGAATTGCCCACTTTGTATGGAGCCATTTAAATACAAAACATCTGTCATATGAGCCTGGTGTCTACAAAAATTGTGTAGATTTAGTATGCTCTTTGTGCTGGAGACTAGCTATATATTATTCTAACAAAGTGTTTTCAACACTGAAAGACCTGTTGAATTTCTTTCTTTTCTTACTCAAAAAGCTCTAGGTATCACTGAGCCCGTGTGAAGCTCGCCCTTCCTAGACCGAAGTCCATAGGAGGTGAATTGCTGCAGCCGATCTTGCTTCAATCTGATTCAATAAGCTCAACAAAAGAGATGAATTGTATATACAAGTATGTCTATCTCTGCCGAGCCTAATACACGACGCCTGCTTTTCTCTAGGACTTGATACACTTCTCGTAATACCTCTCGTATACCTCGAGCCCTAAGTCAGGCAATACTCCACCGCCCCGCCTACCCACCGCCTTGACCCCAAAGGCCTCGCCGAGCAAGTCGAATTGGTTCTGTTGATCAAGACATTGCTCAGAGACACCCGTGCGAGACAGTTTCAATAGAAACAAAACCGACCGAAACATATTTACTCCAGAGAGAAAAATCAAATACCTAATCCGGAGTCCACGACAACAAACCAATTTCACTTCCGCCCGTTCCTCCGCACCCCTCCTACCCCTCAACCACATTCAAGCTCCAAAAACAACATCCACAGCCAAGATGTCGATTCCCAACGAAGCTCTCCAAAAGGTGTGTCTCAGTCTGGATAATCTTACATCTTTAGGTCGGATACTGCGAGCAAATGGCCAGAGGAAGTGGTGTACCAAGTCAACTCGGTCTCACTCAGCCCCTTGTCTCTCTCTGGTTTCCGATTGAGGATGTCAATTCCAATTAAGGTGTGCAAATGCTAATAATTTCCACAATTACAGCTCCTCCAGGAGATTGAGGCCCGCGCGATCGCCTCGCAGCAGCAAATCAGTATCACCAAGGCTCATATGACGGCCAAGCAGCGCGATATTCGCATGCTACAGCTTACATCGAAGGAGTTGTCTGAGTTGCCTTCCGAAACGAGGGTTTACGAGGGTGTCGGAAAAATGTGAGCATTTTTATTTTTGCTTTTCCTATCTCGTCTTTTTGTTTCTTATTTATTTCATTTCTCTTGTCTTGTGCGACTCCAAACAGTGAGACAGCCATGGAAATTTCTAATTGGTCTCATTTTTCGTGGAACCGAGACTGACTTCTCACCCTGTTCCAGGTTCGTCAACGTTCCCATCGGCACAGTCAACAAACGCCTTACGCGCGAGAGCAGCGAGGCCACTGCTGAGATCGCCAATCTCGAGAAAAAGCTGCAATATCATGAGACAACAAACCAAAAAAGTCGGGAGAACATGGAGCAGATTCTCAAGTCTGGTGGGAGATCGTGAACAAAATGTTGAAATAAGAATATGAGACGAGAGCAAGGCATGAACGCGATGCGCTCCCATGTGGAGGGTATCCTTATTTGTGGTTTCTGTGCACCAAAGGCCCAGCGATTCTCGCGAATGTGAATCTTAATGGGAGGAACAGAGAATGCTGATTCTGCTCTGTCTTTTTCTTTCGGGTGCACCTGCGACACAGGCTGGATGGAAAAGATAGGATGGGTTGAAGATGTTGTCATCTCGAGACTGACAAGTGGATATGATACACTTTGCCCCGGGGAGATGCAGGATACGAATACCAGCCCTTCTACGCCCGGCTGGCCTGGTCACATTCTGGCGACTATAAATATTTGGGTTGCCGGGTGGTGACTTAGATACCCAGGAGTTATTGTTTGCAAAAAAAATGTGTGTTTTTGGATGAATTAAGCAAGGAAAGAGCATGTCATGATGACTTCTTTGCATATACACCCTCGATCTTTTATGGTTTCTCTGTCAACGCCTAAATCCGGATTCAAGAATTGATTGATCTTCAGCCGTCTAGCGGGAGAGGGCTATTGAGAGAAATACATGCGTAGCCTCGGTGCCAACATCCCAGATTTAATATGTCCGTTATACCAGTTGCATCTCAAAAACTGCATGGTGGGGCGGGTGCCCAGGTGGTACCTTATCGCGCTGCAGCTGTCATTGTTAATGATGTAAGCGTGCTCAAATGTGAAGCACGGTTAAATTTACTACATTTTCATCCTGTCTAGTATTATGTGAGGTATAATTTAGGTGACTAGATAGCGCTAACATTTTTAGTGTCTCACCAAAACGACAATTTGATAGGGCTGATACGCCAAGGGTGGTCTAAATGGAACTACGTATACTTTGTACTTTAAGATCTGCAACTGTCCTCCAACCTTGGAAGGATCTGAGGGAGAGGAAACTGATTAATCATAACTCTATGTATAATTGTGACTATTGTACATTTAGTGGGATATGCGACATACATCGTACATTACTACAGGACTCTTATGTGCTACCAGACCAACGCCATTGGCGTCATCTCGGTGCCCAGGCTAGATCAACTCCCATTTTCCCCACTGTGGAAATTAAAAATGACGTATATTTCGGCAACGCAACCACTTATTTCCTAGAACGAGCACTAACGACACATAATTCGTGGAACAAAGTCCAGTGATAGTATCGTTTCTTGTGGCGACTTCGCGACACTGGCATCCAGTCAGGACTGACCGCTGAATGGGCGAGCCAAGTAGCCTTGTTGCTGTTATCGCAATGCCAGGGGTTCCCTTGCTAGAGTCTAGACACGGACAAAGTAAGTTGTACCGCTTACAGATATACAAAGTACAATATACTTCTTGTGCCACTGTAGATGTTTGGCATATATTTTTTCTAGGTGTGGCTTGGGCTTGGGCTTTGATATGTGTAGCTTGAATATAAGGCCCAACAAGTCTAAAGGTTACCCTTGCACGCATGTTTTGGGCCGTGGTACTCCTAAGGTTAAAATCGGAAGCTTGAAGTTAGATGCGATTAGCGCAGTAAAGAAGAAGATACAGTGAGCAGGATATTTTTTCAAAAGACTTCATTGTGGCATTCAAAGTAGGAATTTTGGGCGTGCAGTTAATCACGCAGTGGAAGTAGACAACCACCAGCGATGCTTCATACAGTCGCTTTGGATTGTAGTTAAAAGAATGGTGCATCTGGGTATTAAGCCCGAACACAGTTTGTACGACATACATAGATGCCTATCTTTGAGAATTAGATACATCAAGTCTGGATACCACAAATGAGTGTTCATAGATGTGAGGTAGAAACTAGAAAGAATAAAGTCGGGTGCGAAAGTCACCTGGGTAGGTGCCCATGGGTCATCTCACGGGAACACCCGACCTTGTCCATCGGCAGGTTCATTACAAGGTTATTGCATTCCATGGATGGTATCACGTTCTCAGATACCTAGTGGATTATTTTCCGATTTAGGCTCAGTTCTCGCCGCTTTGTTCCAAATGATATCAATCGAGCATGCCTCCCGAAGCCCTCATCCTCTCATTCTCTCTCATTCTTATATAAGCAGTTTTCAATCCTGAGGTCAACCCTAAACCGACACTTGTCATGGCGAAGAACCAATTTGACTTTGGTTGATGACCACGTCTGCCTAATATGATACTTATTCTTGCTTGGGCTCTCGCTCGGCTTTGCATAATCCTACGGTCTACCACCTCCCGACGCGTTGCAGACACTATCTGGTGCAGCCAGCCAATACGGGTAATGTGTTGGTGGGCTTGGCACGATTAACAAGCAGGACAAGTACAACATACATGGCCGGTGGCCCTAAGTTCAAGAACAAAAATAACGATTTGTTTGTCTTACATCTCGATATTGAGATGTTCAATCCTCTCTAGTTAAATTTAAGGTACAATATGCTGTCTTGAGACTCAATTGTATCATCAGCCTGCTTTTTTTTTAACTTACTTGTAATGCAAAATCCGTGCAAGCAGCTAAGACGACAGATCTTCCAGGTACAGTTAAATCACTCATTTGACAGCTTAGCACCTGGGCAGATATTAGGCTTTGAATACTACATGCATTGATATCACGTGATGATACTGGGATTGAAATCCCACCAGCCTGACCCTCGTTTCCCCAAAAGCGGCAACTCAGATCCACGGATGAAAAAAGCCCCACCCGTCGAGCTACCATGTATTAAAATGGATATAATCTTGGAAGGATAGGCAAATATGGAACACGGTTGGTGCCCAATCCATCATTGTAGCGAATAGTATCTTGAATTCCCAGTTATTGGAATTAGGTAGGGAGACAAGAAGAATTAGCGCCTAAGTCGACTAAAGCTCGAATCCAAGTGTAAGATGTGAGCGACAAGATTATCCACAGAAAAAAAGGAGTCCATCGTACAGGATGGTTTCAGTAATAGCCTTACGTGTTTTAGATTCGCTATCAACGTCTCATAAAAAGTTAGCGCGGAAGGATCCGATCATGACTATTTTAGGTAGCGATACGAAAAGGATAGTTTCATGTTTCGGGGATTTATGTAGCTGCAATGCCTAATGTGCGGTGTGTATATTAATATTAGAATGCCCAATTGTCAGAGCGTTAACATTAATCTTGTCAGACTCGAAGTGGGCCCCGATGATGCTGTGTATCCGAACCCTGAAATTGGAGTTGGAGTTGGAGAGAGTATGTAGAACTACGTAGAACTTAGAGAGGGGAAAATACTGATACATTAAGTCTTGGTAGAATAGAATGGAATATAAGAGAGAATACGGAGTATTTAAGAGCGTAATACTATCGAGTCAAATCCACAGATTATGCGCCATGAGGCTGAAATGCATTGCCAATTGAAAAATGACGCCCATGACGCCCAGCTGAATAAATAAAAAGGTACTCCAGACTTGGCTTTCTTCCTTTTCCCTTTCTTCTTCCCACCCCCTCCCCCGCTTTAGCTGACAAGATAAGCGCACACTTCTCGTATACATATTTTGTCTGCTTTGGCCCCGGTTTCTTGTTCTTCAGCTTACTTCCCATCTCTTCCGCTCTCTTTTGGTTTTCATTTATCCTATCATCTGCCACCTGCGCCTGATAACCCCGCTCAGGCCCCTCTATCAGGGCCCTAATCTATATTATCAAGCCCGCCCCCATACTTTTCGCAACAACCCCGCCAAAATGCCTTTACAAGCAATGTATGACGATTACGGCTACTCCTCGCAGGACTCAGAGTACTCTGAGACCGATGTCTCCCTCCGGCGAACAGGTGTCAGAACTCATATCCGCCAGCGCTCTGTCTCTCGCCCCCGTCGCCCGGAAGTCATCTCTCGAGAGTACCTAGCAGCACCAGTCCAAACCACCACTCGCATTCACCGGTCGGCCTCGACAGGCGCTCGGCGGCGCGAGCACATCCCACCAGCGGCGCCCCCAGCGCCACCAGCGGTAATGATCTTCAACGAGCAAGGGCTGCAATCAGAGAGTCGCTCGGAGAACAAGCCCCAGTCTCGACAGCTGCACCAGAAGTTCAACGAAAAGCACAGCCACAAACACCGGCACAACCGCTTCGACGATGATGACGACCTGCCGGCACCCCCGCCCCGCCGTGGGCGCGCTGTCAGCAGTGTCTCGCGCGAGCCCTCCCCCTTCCGCCGCGACCATGAGTTGGCCATGAGCCAGCACATGCTGGAAATCAGCGACATCCGGCAAGATGTGAGCCAGCAACTGCTAGAGCGGGATAATCAGCGCCAGGATATGGATCTTTTCAAACATCAGCAGGAGATCGAACGGCTGAAGCGGCAACTGGAGAAGAAGACTCGTGAGCGCAGCGAGCACGAGCACGAGCACCAGCAGATTATTGTGAATCCGCAGCCTGATCCGCGCGAGTCTCGGCTGATCAGGGACGAGAGGGATTTTGATGAAGATATTTCAGAGCGGCTGCATAGGCTACAGCGGCTCGAACGCAAGCAACAATCCTCGGAAGAGGAGCGTAAGGCCGAGGAGCGCTATCAGCTCAAGAGGTTTGCGGCAGACAAGAGAGCTGCTGCTGAGGAAGACCAGCTTAGACATAAACTGGAAGATGAGAGGTTGAAGGATATTGCGCGTATGCAGGATGAGAAAGCACAGAGGGAGAAACTCATGCGGGAGGAGAAGTGGAAGGAGCTTGCAAGGATGAAGGAGGAGCAAGAGGAGAGAGGGAAGCTTATACGGGAGGAGAAGTGGAAGGAGGTTGCAAGGATGAAGGAGGACCAAGAGGAGAGAGGGAAGCTTATACGGGAGGAGAAGTGGAAGGAGATTGCAAGAGCAAAGGAGGAGCAAGAGGAGAGAGAGAAGCTCTTGCGAGAGGAGAAGTGGAAAGAACTTGCCAGGTTGAAGGAAGAGGAGGAGGAGCATGAAAAGCTCGTTCAGAAGATCCGAGATGAAGATATGCGAAAGGCGAGGGAGGAAGAGGAGAAGAGGAAGAAGGAGCTTGCTATGAAGGCTGCTGCTGTTGAAGAGTGGAAGCTTGAACAGGAGCGGATTAAGCGAAGGCAAGCGGAGGAGGCGATGCAGAAGGCGAAGGAGTTCCGTGACCGTCTTCGCGGTATCGGCTATACCGAGGAGGAGATTGATGCTATCATCAATAAGAAACAGAAGGAAGAGAAGAAAGAGAAAGAGAAGGAAAAGGAAAAGGAAAAGGAGAAGGAGAAAGAGAAGGAGAAAGCAAAGGAGAAGGAAAAGGAGAAAGAAAAGGAGAAGGAGAAGGAGAAAGAGAAAGAGAAGGAGAAGGAGAGGGAGAAGGTCACATGGATTAGGGTAAGGAGCCATCTCTATATACTAGGGGTTTTAACTGACACCATATCAGGTCCACCGCAAGCACTTGCTGCCAGATACCTTGATCGCCTACGGTCTTCCTTGGGATTGGGACGAGGTAAGAATTCCGCCCTGGATGTCTGGATGTATACAAGACTAATATGTTGATAGACCGATGGCAACTACATCATCATCAAAAAGTGGATAGATCATGACTTCCAAGATCAGCTCTTCGCTCACACCCAACGCCTACGCGAGGGCAAGGTCATCGCCGCAACATCCCACTCAAGGACTGAACTGAGAGTCAACGACCGCAAAAAGGACAAAATGTTCCTGGTCCGGAAGAAGAGTCCTTCAGGCCGGGTGCACATTTTCAGGTGATCGTCTTCCTTCCGCATTTCATTATGATTGATGTTTGGAGAAATTCGCATTAAGTACATGTTCTATCTGAATGTTGTTATTGCGTGTGTTTTTTTTTTTGAGACCCGTTCTAGTGGGACTGTTTCTTGTTGCAATTATGCCGAGTTATGTTGTGTTGAGATTTGTTCCTTTTCGTTTTTTATATCACATACTGGTAGTATGTGGTAATACAGTAACGCGATATGAACTGATGACCTGTTTTTATTCCGATTCTAACTTCTCTTTAACTGTACCAATTATATCCATCGTCGCCCTGCCCTGTGTATCTAGTCCACCGTCTCCTGTGTAATCTATGGGTCTGGCGAACATCTCACGGGCATAGGTGCCTGGTACAGGAAGATTAGGGGACACCCCTATTATAAATGGAAAAGTTGAGGTCAGGGATTATATGATAGGCGACATGTGCAGACGCAGTATAATATACATGTCAGGTCTTAGCACGCTGTGTAAAAACCTCCCATTGGGTCAAGCTCAATGCAGGTATGCACCCCTGCGCAAGGAGCCGGATGCGAGATAGAGCGGGGTCTGAGCAGACTATAATACAAAAAGTGGAATGGGTATGATGTGAGGGAGGGTGATAGCCAAGGAAAAGTAGAAGTCAAGCCTAGAGACCGATCTGGGAATTTGTCTCCCACCGCTTCTCAGCGCGCAGGATGAGCTCCTCATAGACAGTCCATGCCAGCGCCGAGCTAATGGCCTTGCGAGCCATGCGGAGACCAAGTCCACCGAAGAGACTGCGCATACCGTCCTCGTGGATCATCAGACGCGTAGCATGCACCATGTTCCCGTACTTGGCAGGCATCAGCTGCAACCGGGTCTTGACGGCGTCAAAAGGATTGGTGATTGCAGTCGCCATACCAGCCGCCGCCGCACCGGAGACGAAGTGTATTGATGAGGACGAAAGAGCAGTTGGTGTCTCGCCATTCTTAGAGGGTTTTGCAGCCATCAAGGAGAACCGTCGCTTCAAATGCTCGTAGAAGAGAACGTAGAGACCAGCATAGGGAGCATCACGAGCAGCAGTAGCACCGAATCCTGCGAAAAGCCCACGCAGGCCTTCAGTGCGGACGATATCCCGGCCTGCACCTATTAAGCTTCGATATGCGTAATAGTCTGACTCATAACGGACCTTGAGCACGGTCACGGGCATCATTACGAAGCCTGCAGCAACTCTTGCGACGGCTCCTGTAGCAAGGTTTGCTGTGTTGGAAAGTTTAGGGAGGGCTGAGGATGACCTAGCGCTTGTGACCGGACTAGCTAGGGCCATTGGGTTGTTTTGCGCAACGGCTTGGCGCAATGAGTTGAGACTGGTGAAATATAGTGCCGACCCGAAGCCGGTGCGGAGGGCTGAAGGGAGTGTACCCCGCCATAATCCACGGATTGGGTTTGGAGAGGAGATGATCGCCTTCAAAGTTGGTAGGAGGGCTGCTCCCTGGGACTGTTGGACTCGAGTTTTGAGGAGGTCCGCGGGTTGGAGAAGGATGGAGGAGGTAAGGCCAGAGCATAGTCCAGCAGCAAAGTGGAAAGGTGTTTTTGAGGCTGGAGCAATAAGCAGATGATGTTTAGCAATGAAACGAAAATGATTGGGGTTTGAACAGAAAGCATACTAGTTGAGGTGGTCGTTTTCACCTGTGGCACCGTTAATGTGCTATTGTTCGACATTGCTGGGTCGACTCGAAGCGCAACTTCGACAGCAAATATGTTTATTTTGTTAAAGGTAGAAGATTCAATGCCAAAGCGAGGTCCATAGGCGTCATGTACACGTAGCGGTCAAGAAGATGTTGAGATCCACCGGATGCGTAAAAAAAAAAAAAGAGTGAAAAAAACCGGGGAAATTCCAGAAAGACGGTCACAGTCAAAGAAGGGCACCACCTTGCATTCCACCAGGGATTAAATGAGGGAGAATGGAATGGAACAGGATTATAGAGAGTAATTGCAAGCGATGACTCTGCCGAGGTCAAAAGGCAGAGGTTGAAAACAGTGAAGTCATCGTCAGCAATGGCTATCGATAAGCCACCCGGTGGACACCACTTGAAAGTACCTAGGTAAGCATTTATGTGCAGGTGTATACACGGAGTAGAAGTTTACTATTAATCCAATTAATAGACTCAGAATTCGTATTTCATACTTCAAATAATATTCTAAAGTCAACTACATAGTATATCTATCGTATGACTGTCATATCATCCAATATGCGGCTCTTTGACCCTTCTGTGTACTCCGTACTAGTATGTATAGGCCGTTTACAGTCAATATGCATCTTTATAGATCAAATACAGCAGAGGCATAAACATAAGTATAGAACAAAAATAGATATAGGAATTAAATACAAAGTACATAGCTATATACGGAGTAAATAGCCATGTACATAAATATGTAGGTGGGCAGAGAGGGGGAGAGAAGAAGGAGAAGCGCCGTTTCCGGCATCTCGCGGAGTGCACGGACCAACAAGCCCCGTGGATAATCGACGTCATGTGGTGTTCGTTTCTCTTTCTCTTTCTCTTTGGATTTAGAGAGCTTATACAGACTTAATATCTCTCTAACATTACCCAGATACCTTGGTATACAGCATAATGCCTTGGTCTTTACCATTCTTTCCGTATCCGTCTGCAAAGGACGGATACTGGGAGCCTATCACCTCCACCTTGAACTGGTGCGAGGAGGTGTGTATTCCCGCAGAAGTGAAAGAGCACAGAAGCAAGAACCATGCTAATATATCATTTTAACCAGGACTATTATGCCACTGAATATGCCGCGGAAATTGTCAACACACTCACGAATTTGCTGTTCATGTGGCTTGGAGTCCAGGGCATACTGGGCTGCCGTCGCAATGGACATGACCAAATCTTTACGGTCGCCTTCCTTGGCTACCTAGTAGTCGGAACAGGGAGCTTCCTGTTTCACTCGACCCTCAAATGTAAGTGTCCCTACATCCCTCTCAGGTCCATCTAGTTAAACCGCGGCGGACATTCACCAATAATAGTCAAAACAAAAGATGAGTGAGGAATGCTGACCGGTGAACCCCCCCACCATAGACCCCATGCAGCTAGTGGACGAACTCTCAATGATCTATACCACCTGCCTTATGGCCTACGCTTCATTCTCGTATGCCCGAACCACCACCGTACGAGTCTTTCTCGGAATTTCGCTCACAGGTCTCGCCGTGTTCATCACCCTGTACTACCACTACCTCCAAGACCCGATTTTCCACCAGAATGCCTTCGCAATCCTGACTACCGTCGTCGTCCTGCGCAGTATGTATACCATGGAAGTGACCCTCCGACCCAAATGGCGCCGCTCAACGGAGGAGGACCGCCTAGCGCGCCAGAAGAAGGGACTCCCCGTTCCGACAAAGGAGCGCCAGCACTTCGAGAACGTGCGCGACCAGAAGACCCTCAAAACCATGTGGTTCATGGTCATCTATGGACTGAGCATGTTTTTGGGAGGGTTCTTCATCTGGAACTTGGATAATGTATTCTGCTCTGAGATCCGTCGGGTGCGCCGCGCTGTTGGTCTTCCATGGGGTCTCTTTTTGGAAGGGCATGGCTGGTGGTATGTGTCAAACCTATACTATCGATTGCCATCGGATTATTTGCTAATTTATTCTTACTTGCAGGCATATCATGACTGGCATCGGTGCTTATCTCTATATCACGTGGGGAATCTGGCTCCGTCACTGCCTCAACGATCGACAAGACGAATACCACCTGCGCTGGGTGCACTTTTGGCAAATTCCCGAAGTGATTCGCACCTCGGGCGGACCATCCGAGAATGGGGTATCCCGAGCCAAGAAGTCAACCTGAAACAACTGCCTAGACACACTCTCTCCCAGTTAGCTCATTACTCGCACCCGTCGTTGCGTATGGGCGACGATATACCACACTCTTGCAAATGTGACCACCAACATAACATGAAGTAGATACCATGCTCTCTTCCTGTCTGGCCGTTGCCACGAAACTCGGAGCAGAGCACTGTTTTTTATTACCCTTGGCGTTGCTTTTGCATAGCTTCCACGAACACGATTCGTCCTGGAGACGGATACTTTGGCTTTGGACCATAGATACACGATACCTTTTTTTTCACTTTTTCTTTTTGTCTAGGGGCGCGCGGAGTCATTGCTATAGAGGGGAGTCAGGCTTGTGAACCTATGATCGTGAATTTGGCGTTCTCATTCATAGGATCTAAAATCAATAGAAAAACATTCAGGCGATGCAGACTTGAACATTCTCTATTCATATGGCAAGGGATATACGTAGAAAATTCGTCTACACAATTTATGCCTCTTATGGCCGTCGTATACAGCTGAAAGGACATCTATAACGAACATCTGAGGTTCTTACATACGAATAGTATCTTGGGCCAAATATACCTGAGTCGTCAGGGACAGCGGCCGCGTGAGCGGGCGACTGACCATTCTTGTGGTAGAGCATTGACAAAAGCAGATTATGCATGGTCTATACTTACACCCAACGAAAGCTATCTATGAAAATCACACGCTTACAGCTTCGACTCCCCATTCTGCGCCCCCTTCTGCGGCCTTCGTGCCGGCGCAGGAACATTCTTCAACCACTCCGCATCAATGGTAACCTTCTCGATCTTCGATTTCTGGCTCCAAGCCGCACGGAAACTCTCCTCCTCATCGCGCCAGCGGCGAATCTCCGGCGTAAGCCAAGCAACCGCCGCATCAGCGCACTCATTCACAGCCTCCTGAGCAAGGAGATGACCAGACTCCTCGAAGAAAACATCACGCACACGGCCTGCAGCAACGCCTCCACTACCACCCAGCCCGGTACCGGTGTTGGCGAGCTTGTCGGCGCGCATGGCAGGGGTACACATGTCCGACTTGCCGGCAAATATGTACAGCACACTGGGGCGCAGGAATGGGAGCTGAGAGAAGATGCGAGCTGGCTCTGGGCGGTAGAAGGGGTAGTTGTGTGGGTGATTTGCGTCTAGATCTGGGTGTGTTAGGCGGTTGACGGGCTTGTTGCTGTTCGGGATGTTCGTGTAGTTTGGCCGCGAGAAGGTGAACACTTCTTGATGTAATGGGGTGCGGAGGGTTACTGGGGGCCCTGTGGTTTTGTCTATCGGGGTATTGGGGTCTAGTGGGTGGATGGCTGTTGGGAGGTCGCGTAGGCCGTACTCAATCCAGCGGGATAGAACTCGTGGATCCCAGGCTTGGTAGAAGGGGCTGCGGCGGAAGCCTTCTGCAGCGGATTGGCGAGAGGGCCATATATCGCGCCGATGGGTTGATAGTTGGGTTGTTTTGGCGATCTGGCGCTGGTTTATTTGAAGGCTGAGGCCATCTAGTTGCGTGGTTTGGGGTTGGATCACTGGGTCGAGGAGGACTAGTGTGTGGATAAGTCGGGGGTGCATTAGGCACAGTTGTGTGCTAGGTGGAATATTAGTTAACCGCTGTGTAAATGCTCTCAATAACTTACAGATGGGCGCCTCCCATGCTATGCCCGATGCCCACGATAGGCCGGGGCATTTCAGCCCGCTTGACATTGACTAGATGGAGGAGATCCCGGGGGTGGTCAAACCAGCTAGCTGTAACACAATTAGCAACACAATTGCTTTCTCATAAGACATCCATGTTACATACGATCGTTTCCGAGGGAATCTTCATTGATCACACTGCTCTGGCCTTCTTGCGCCACGTCGGCCATCCAGATACCGCGAATGCGCATTCCATTCTGCTTAGAACGGGCGTAGATTTCCTCCCAAAGCGGTTCATATAGTTCCTGCGAGAAACGATCAGTACATCGCCAAATTCATGCTTTGAAGCCTATCACAATGCGCGCGCAGCTCTGAAAGCGGGTCTGGCGGCCTGGACCTCGGCACTTTGTATCTCATACCTTGGGGAAGCCATTCGCGTGGGCAGCAAGGATAGTAATATCGCCTGGTTGGGGATTGGGATTGTCCAATGGGATATATTGTTTCACAGCTAGATGTAAGGGGTGTTCTTGGCTGTTGGCCGTAGCTCCAGGATACTCCCTGATGTGCTGAGTGGGCACGATATGCTCAACGATGCGAAAGGGGGATGCCATGATGTGCAATGTTGCCCTTTGAGGGAGAAGAGCTTGTATTTATTCCAGTTCGGATTTATTATAAGATGTATGAAGAGAATAAGTTTAGTAAAAAAAAAGTCCCGAAAGACCGCGGTTTTGCGGGGGAAACGAGCCGAGGATCTTGGGGTTTCGAGGCATCCGCGCCTTTGTTCAACTGCCGATAACCAATCATTTTTCATAACAGCTGGTATTAAGCTACATATGAATATGTACATTCAATCGAATAGGATATTTGAGTCTTGGGGCTGTAACAATTGGTAGTTCTGGTTGGTTTGGACGATAGATCGGATATCCACCAAAGCTATACTCTACTCTCTGTCAAAGCAAGGAGGCTATAAACTATCATTTCATAGAAAAATACACTTCTAAGGTTTATCTAATTTCAAGCCAAAGACGAGAGAGAGATCATCGCCGCGAGGACTATTCTTGACATAATATTCCCGAACAACCTTGGAAGCAAAGATGCTACATTATTCTATATACTACTCTGTACTGAGAGCAAGACAAGCATCAACAGCTAGGCCGACCCTGCGACGAAGAGTTAGTCGAGATCTAATAGAACATCAGAACATCTGCAAGGATAGAAAGTACTTACCTCCCCTCTTTCATCTTAACGACGTCATCAATAAGATCACGATCTAGGTTGGGAAACATGTTGGAAAGTGTTTCAACAATATTATTATGCTCAGCACGTTGGATGCGGCGCGCCTCCGCATCTTCAGCACTAGCCTGGCGCGCGGCGGCGTCCTGAGCGTCGAGTACGCGTGTTAAATTCTTCTTCGCGGAGGTTCTACCTGGGCGGGCACGCTCATCGCTTGAGCGACGGTCCTCGCTGCTTGCGCGAGGAGGCTGGTAGACGCTCGGGGTGAGGCGGGGCGGAGCAACACCGGGTTGGGGCGTGGGGACAGGCTGGGGGCGTTCTTGAGAAAGGGCAGAAGTTGAGTCTGGGTCGTCGGAGAAGATACGGCCGATGGTGGAGAGAGGTTTTTGGATTGTGCGTAGTAGTCCTGCGACTGGGGCGGAGGTGTCATCGTCACTGGACTGGGTAGTCTCTTTGCGGCTTGGTCCAGCTTGAGGCTGAGATTGAGAGGGTTGGGCGGAGGGCTTTTCTTCGAACGTTTCAGATTCGCGGTTTTGTTCTGCAATAGCGGAGACGGCGGCTTCGACGTTGCGTTCGAACTCCTCATCGCTGACAGTTAAACTTGTGCGGTCGAGGGACTCGATGAATTGGATGGCTCCAGACTAAGGGAGGTCAGTTTTTGATATATAGGGGAGTGTGGAAGTCAAGACATACCAACGATGAGATGTAATAACCTGCTTCGCCGCCAAGTTTATCCTGGTTGCGGAATCGAAGAATGTATTGGATGTTAGAAACAAGATGATCAGGGTTTGCATGCAAAACCACATAGATCAGGAGGGGGATAAAAGAGTCGGCGGACGTGTCAGACTTCTTGGAATTCTTTAATAGACCAAAGATGACTTTGCAGCAGTTCAAAATGCAAATGACCTTATCTCGGGGAGCTCGGTAGCCATTGATTTTTGATATTTCTGTCGAGCAAAGTCAGAAAGTCAGAAAATTCCCTCAAGGCAGCCCATGATACATACCTTGCTGTGCCAGGTTCAAGAAACGCCGTCCACCGCCGCTCACAGTCGGGATGTCCAGATGCGATTCGTTGACCCAGCCGTAAATTCGAATCTTCTGGGCCAGGATATCATCCCGCTCAATATCCTCCTGATGCTGGCCACGTCGCCACGGCCCATGAAGCCTCTCTAGCTCCCTCCGTCGGCTCCGACTTGCACTTCTTGGTATCGTTGGCGGGGCTGGAATGGCCGGGGCGAAAGTCTGTGAATACAGGCGATTCATAACAAGTTTCTCCATGCCTTCCTTGGCATTATCGAATTCGCTATCCGATACATCTCGCCAGATCTCGCACATAGCCATCTTATTCGTGATAAACGTCAGAAAATCGCTGATGATCTTGACTTGCTCGTGGACCATCCATTGCTTCTTGCCAAATTCCATGAGGAATGACCGCAAGAACTTAGCTACGGGGTCAGCGGTGCGGTGACGCAGCTGTTCTAGGAAGCGGTGGAAATCGAATGGTTGGTCAGACTCTGGTTCCGGTGGTGGTAGGGCTGTCGAGGTGGACGCTCGCCGGTCTGATGCCGGCGATTCGGGCTTGTGGGGATGTTGGGATACAGGTTGCTTCTTCGGGGATGTAGCGACCGCAGAACTCGCAGACTCGGTGGAAGGCACATGGTCTAAACTGGATTTTCGTGGCGGGAAATACGTTGGACCGCCTCTGAATTGCTCAGCAAGCTCGAGCCGTGGGGACATGATTTCTTTTTGGTCTGTGCTCCGCGCGGGGTCCTGGAATTGTCCCATAATACTTTGAATCTCCGGCTGGGAGGCATTATCGTCCCTAAGCCCTTCGGCCTTAACATTTCGTTTAGAGTCCGGGTCACTATCACTAGGCACATCCGGGAGCTCTTTCTCGGGGCTGGGGGTCTGGGTCGTATCGATGGGTGGCAGTGTCGGTGCAGTGGTCGTGGAGCTTGCGTGAAGGTTGAGGTAGACATCGTCCTTCTGGGGCGGAGGGGGAGGAGGGGTATTTGCACTGGATGAGAGATTGGGTGTTGTATTTTCCGAGACCGACAGTCCTTCCATCTGCCCCGCAAGTAGTTGTTGCTCGGCCTGTGATGGTTGGGCAGCTTTCGTCAAGTCCACCATCGCGGCGGGATCGGAGAGGGCAGAAGCAATATGTGGCTCTGTTGTCTCTTGCAAACTCATTTGGGCTGTTTGACTGCTTTCTGGTTTCGCAAGATCGTCCTGTGTTTGGACTAGGAGATCGTTTGGAGCGGCCGGCGGCTCAGTGGATTCATGGATATGAGGAAGGTCTCTCGTCTCGGGACCCGGAGAGGACGGGGATTCTGTGGCCGACATAAGCTATGTTAATCATATGCGCCCGGGCAAAAAGATAGATTCAGGGGGTTGTAAAAGGCTACGAGAATGCTCATGCGGCTCTCATGTTGATGTGCGGATCATCATTCAACCGACGTAGTCCGCTTCCTAATTCAGGCTATGCACGTCTATGGGAGGAATGAGTGCCCAGGTGGGGGGATTTTTATCTGAGACTGGATCAACAGACAAAGAAATGATAACTATAGCATATTGTAGATCGATTAAAAACAGAGATCTATATAATTTACTAGCTATATGTAGTTCTAACAAATGCTCAACCAATGTAACTTCATAGGTACTTGCATGATACTCGTCGCCTCAGCATACAGAGGAAAATGCCATTTAATAAGAAGCCAACTATAATTTCAGTATTTTGCAGTCCGTTGTGAATGCATCTGTCGGTGACAAACGACCTTGCAGATCGATCCCCGATAGTTAACTAACCTTGGAACTGTACCTGGATAGTTAGGTACAGGGCCAGTGGACCTTCTATAGATATGACTAATATATTCATGCCTCAGGCACAAATATATCCAAAAAAGCTACCAAATTAACCATCTCAGAATAAACAACAATCCCATCCTGTTTCTCCGCCATGTGCGGAATTTTCTTTTCGCTGAGCTCATCAAAGCCTACACCGCCAACACAGGAGACCTGTGACCTGCTCCAAAAGCGAGGACCAGACAGCTACAAGACTCATACAACGCAAAAAGATATCAACGCACAGGATGGCGTGTCTTCGCCCCTTTCCTATTATCTCACCTTTACATCCACAGTGCTCTCATTGAGAGGTGACCATGTGTACATGCAGCCACTCGTAGACCCCACAACCCAGTCTGTGCTCTGCTGGAACGGAGAAGCCTGGAAGATCGCTGGGGAGCGCGTCCAAGGAAATGATACTGAACGTGTTTTCAACTTATTTCTACAGGCAGTGGACGGTGATCAGAAGGGTTCCCTTGAAAGAATGGCTGAAGCTATTGCAAGTCTCTCTGGCCCATTTGCCTTTGTCTTCTATGATGCAGTCAACTCAAAGCTCTTCTACAGCAGGGATTGTCTTGGGAGGCGATCTCTCCTCGAGGGATTTGATGAAGATGAGAATTTGAAGATTTGCAGCATTTGTGACAGTGCATCGGTGGATTACTTCAAGGAAGTGGGCACCGAGGGCGTTTGTACAATTGACCTAACTCGCTATCAAGATCCCTCTTTATCTCCCAAAAAGTTGTGCCATATCAAGACTTTACCATGGAGCTCTGCTGCTTCACCGCAAGCTGATCACATTGTATGTCCTTCATATCTTCCTCCAGGAGCAGTAACTGACAAGAGAGCAAAGAGGAAATCAATTCCACCCATGAACACATCACTACCAACAGAGCAGCCTCCTGCATTGACAACAGACTCGGTATTCGTTAAGGAGCTCGAGTCAAAACTGCGTCAGTCACTTGAATTGAGAATACAGAACGTCCCCGAGCCTCCAGGCTACATTGCAGGCCAGACCGCCAAAACAGCCGTTCTCTTCTCCGGCGGTTTAGACTGCACGCTTCTCGCAAGACTCTCTCATGACATCCTCCCCCTCGACGAACCAATCGACCTCCTCAATGTAGCATTCGAAAACCCTCGAGTGGCAGCAGCCGCTGCAAAAGCCAACCAACAAAAACCCCCCTCCTCACCACCCCTCTCCATATACGAAAACTGCCCAGACCGGATAACCGGCCGGTCCGCCCACATCGAGCTCCAAGCAACCTGTCCAGGCCGCACATGGCGCTTCATCGCCATCGACATTCCCTACGCAGAAACACTCGCACACAGGGACCAAGTCAAGCGCCTAATGAGACCCCACAACACCGAAATGGACATGTCCATCGCATGCGCATTGTACTTCGCATCCCGCGGCCAAGGCACAGCCCAAACAAACCCCTCAGCCCAACTCCCAACCTCAGACACTCCATCACCCATCTACACAACCTCATCCCGTGTCCTCCTCTCCGGTCTAGGCGCTGACGAGCTCTTCGCTGGCTACGGCCGACACAGCGTAGCCTTCAACCGAGGCGGATTCAAAGACCTGATTGCCGAAATCGACCTCGATGTCAGTCGGCTCGGTTCGCGCAATCTCGGCCGCGACGACCGCGTGCTCTCCCACTGGGGCCGCGAGACGCGGTTCCCATTCTTGGACGAGGAGTTCGTGGCTTGGGTGCTGCGAGCTCCTGTGTGGGAGAAGTGCGGGTTCGGGCTTCCGGAGATCGATGCGACCGCTGGTATTGATTCTGAGAAGTTGGCGCTGCGACTTGTTGCGCTGCGGCTGGGCTTGGTGAAGGTTTCTCGTGAGAAGAAGAGGGCTATCCAGTTTGGCGCTAGGACGGCTAAGATGGAGACGGGGAGGTCGAGAGGTACGGATGCTTTGAGCTGAGATGGGCTTGTGGCGGGTGATTCCTGCTACATGTTCGTTTCGAGTCTTGCGCACGCATTCCCCATACATCTTCCAACATGTCCATCCATCTACTCTTTCTTTCTGTCCTCCACTATAGATATCTCCTTTTTCCTTCCTTTTTTCCCCCTATACTATGCTCTCTTCCCCCCTCTCTCTCTCTCTCTCTCTCTCTCTCTCTCTCTTTCCTCTCCACCACCAGCTATGATGACAGAACATGGAAACAGATACTTCCGAAACCTCCACCCCACCCAACAACCCAACCTTCCTTCATTTCACACATGACATCTACAGACACCTATCTATCTCAGATCCCCAACCCCTACACAGCAGGACCCCAAACGCCGCATCTCTCCTAGTGTCTCCCACCCGATTCCGTTCATCCATAGAGCAACCGCAGTCCTCGGACGGCGCGTAGCTCATGCTGAAAGGAAGCGGTCGAGGCGCGGTATTAGGGAGGAATGGAGTGCTGTTTGGTTTTCTGGTACAGGGAGAGGATTTGGGGTTAGGTTGTGAGTGTGGATAGTAAGAGATGGAGGGGAGTTGGGGGGGGATCGGGGTGTGTTTATGAGGCACTTTAAAAGGCAAGTCTGAGCTGGAATTAGATTATACACCTTCACCTTGAGGGACATGCACATAGATCATCGTGGGATACATTGAAAGAGAGTAGTACTTGGGGAAGACATGAGCTAGACATGAGGTTCAAGACGTAGTTAGTTTACGGTACTAGAGCACAGTTTACAAGTAGGAATAAGAAATAAGAGATATAGCAATATAATTGATTTAAACAAAAAAACAAGTACCATATTAAGATAGCCACGAGTCAATCCCATAAAAGGGAGACAATCAGAACCGGCCTAACGAAAAAAAAACCCCAAAAACAAAGGAGTTGATGTGAAGCAACAGAGCGGAGAAACAAAATTGAGAAACACAAATCAAAAAGGAAAAAGAGACATAATGGACTTGTGAGGAACATATCCCGAAAACTTTTAGAGAATCAGATGAGACGAACCAAATCGCGTTCATCTGAACTCGGTGACGTCGGGGTTAGGCTTTACCCATCACCCGCGCCTACCATATTACCCAGAGGGTCAAAAGGAACCAAAACATTAACAAAGAAACACAAAACAGAAAGATTGAATGTCCAATCGTTACAATCGTCAGAATCACCAAGTTGATCATATGCCAAAGAGGGATGTCTCAAAACCAGGACCAAAATGGGATGAAAGCATCACCATTATTGGTAGGTGTTTTGAATCTGGAGCTGAGCCTTGAGCTTGGCAATCTCCGCGTCACGCTCAGCGATGATCTTCTCAAGATCCGCAATGCGGCGCTCCGAAGTGAACTGGCGTTCCATCTTCTTAGCGCGCGACTTACGCGCAGCCTCAGTATTGCGGGCACGCTTAGCAGCAATGGGATCGCTGGGGTCGAACTCGACAGGCGACAGGTTCTTGCGCGATCTAGCGTTGACACCTGCGACGCTGGAGTGCTTGACTGCACCGGAGGCGGGAACAGGTGACGAGGCGACCGATCGCTTAGCGCGGGGGGAGACAGGAGACATGGGGACAGGCAATGGCATGGCTGGCTTCTTCTCTTCGGTAGAGAATGCAGCTGCAGCATCCAAGGTAGCAAAGTCAAAGGCATTTAGTGGATCTGACGAGTGATCAAAGAGGGAGGGCCATTCCTCGTGGCCGGCAATATCCATGTCGGTGAACATGGGCGAGGTGTTTTGGCTGAAGTTGCCGGGGGACTCAAACGAGGGAGTGCTCAAGTCGGTGAAGGTGCCAGATGGAGGGACGGACGCATCCATCATGAGATCCTTTGGCGAGATAGTGCCTGGAGGACCAGCGGCGAAGTCGTTGACCAGACCAAGATCGTTGAACGAGAGAGGTGAATCCATGCTAGCAGAGAAGTCGGCAGAAGGAAGACCGAAAAGATCAACCTCGTGAGCTTTGATGGGGTTAACGATATGTTCACAAGGGTAAGGTGAGACATAGGGTAAATTACCTTCCATGAAGTTGGGAGTGGACATGACACGTCTGTATGTTTGCGCGTTGTGTTTTTGGGTTTGTTGACCGTTGAAAAGTGGGATGGGAGGGCGGTTGGTGTTTGGAGAATTGGAAGGCACAGAAGCCGTGGTAGGACGGCTGTGCGTGAATGTAGGATGGGACCAATAAGAGGGGGACCGGGCAAGCTGGGTCACTCTGGGGTCTTGGACAGGCGATCCAGAGAACTGTTGCTGAAGATGCCGGTGCAACTGCAGACTGAAGGAATGTCGTCGAGGGTTATTCTGCGCCAAGAATGGCTGAAGTGCAGAAGGTCTATGGGTTGTGTTCACAGGCACACGCAAGCGGGGCTGCGGGTGTGGTGTTGCTGATGGATAGAGCACAAAGTCCTCGAGTGCACTGTTGTTGTTGTTGTTCTGATTGTTGTTCTGATTGGAAGCCAAGGGCTGGGACGGGGGTGAGGGAAGCCATGGTTGCTGGTGGTAATCCGTGGTGAACGACGTTAAGTCGATCGGGGCAAAGTTGTTGGAAGAACTCGAGCTACGCGATGCGATGCTGAAGTTCAGAGGTCCAAAAGGAGACTCTGAAGGGGGAAGAGAGGAGAGAGAAGGGTTGGTTCTGGTTGAAGAAATAATGTCTGTCTCAGTTGAGATAGACTGGTTGTTGAAAGACGGGGGGCTTATTGGGCACCCATTTTGGCGAGAGTGAAGATGGTTATAGTTTTGGTCTGACAGCAATATGGCGGTATATGGGGGTTTATGGGAAGGTGTGAGAAGAAGCGGTATAGGGAAGGAAAATCAGGCAAACGGGGGAGGGGGAACTCAGGCACTTCTTAAGGGCTGTGTGCCCTGATGCTGACCAATCGGAGCTCCGGAGCCGCACGGGGCTTAGTCCTGGAAGTCACGGGGTGTGAGTCACAGTTATGATCCATAGATTTGATTGGTTAAATTTCACAGGCATCCATTTTGTCAGTGGTACATGGCATGATACTAACATATTTGCCCGCATTTGCCTACATAGTTCAGGTATCTTTCTACCACATTGTAAGTACCTCTCTCCATGATCCTCCCCGTGTCTTTTCAAATTGACCAATCATCATTCAGATTCCTATCCCTCCGGAATATCCAGGCTGCATCCTGCATTTTGAACTTTTTTTTTTTGAAACTTTTTCTTATATACTCCGTATATTTCCTATAATTCATTTCCCATTCCCCAAAGTGATTTCAAATAATTTGAACACTACAGAGTATTATAATACAATTCCAGCTACCAGTACAGTCCGGAGTACTCCGTCTCGGGGAGGTCGAACTCTTCTCCAGAAAAAAAAAAAAAAAAAGGGATCCACCGATCTTTTCCTAATTGTGTCCCCGCGGTGGGCTGTGTCCATAGCCCATAGCCCTATGAGATGCTCACGTTGCCTTAGTCTTGCCGAAGGGCGTGAAATTGACTTTTTTAACATTCATCCTCAGATAAAATATTCTATAATGTATCTATAACATATATGTACATCTATTATTGTAGGCTACAATATGTATCTACTATTTAGTTTTCGGATGGAAAAAATCGCTTAATGGGATGGTTTACTTCAAAGATCTTAGGTTAATAAAGTACGGAGTAATACTCCGTATTATCCAGATCCAGTTTCTCGGGTTTTTCTCTTTGATCTATGTGGGCTTTTTTCCCAAGTATTTTGTAGAGGCCGAGGCTTCGCCGAAATAGGAGCCCGCTGTAGGACAACCTGCATGTGTGATGAACATATCATTATTATTGCCTAGCATAACGGTTGATCTCTAAGTCTAGACTTTTGCTAACCATCTTATAATCAATATAACATCATATTGCAAACTGTTTTTTAAAAAAAAAAGTAGGTAACCGCGATATGAGGTCGTGTGAGAGGCTAATATATCACATCGTATATACTATTACATCTCTGCCTACTCAAATAGTGGTTTCCTAGAAGGCCATTTGGTATGGCAATTTGAGTGTTAAAATGCAGCCTAGACTACTCCAACGCATCGCGATGGGGTCGCTAGCTCCTGAGCTACAAGTATTGCTTGCATAAATACAACCAAGGGTGGGTCTTTCCTATTTGAGCCGCTGCCAGCGCATACATTTAATATACTTCCCGAAGTCACGACTGCTTCTACTTTACCAAGCGCCATTCAATCAAAAGACTTCCCACCATCGTTATGCAAATTAATACGACAGAAAGGTAGTGGAATGTAGCATTGTCAGTGCGTTTTAGTGTAGTCACGAATTGGCAACGACGTCTTACCCAGGATCGAACAACTTGGTAGTATGTTGGTAAGTACCACTCTAAGAACTTCGTCATAGAATGAGTGCACGTCGTGAAGATAAAGCCTACAATGAACATAAGAGCCGACGAGGAATACGACAATGCTTATCAAGGAGACACCCTTGATTGAGAAGGGCGTGTACAGCTTTGCGAACTCGAATTGGAACGCGCAGGTGCAGAGTCGAAATGCAGATGGGTACCATCCCACATCGGCGATAGTGTGGAAGCGGTTAGTGATGCTCGGCATGGCTGTAGCGACGATGTTGGAGTCTAGGCCTCCGGGGATAAGGACCATGCATAGTGCGAGGATGGTGAACCAAAATTTGGTGCCTGTTGGGTAGTTTGGCTCTGTACCTGGGGTTGATTCAATGTCGAGAGGCTCAATTGTTTGCTTCGAGGTTGTTTTGGGTCATTGAGTTTACTGTTGTTGCAGGTTGAGTAAGACAGTAAACGCTTCATGCTAGACGGAAAGGACCTCTGTCGTGGTTGTAGCCGCCATTGTATGAGACTATCGAGAATGGGCATATGGGAAGAAAGAGAGTGGAAGAGTCACCATTATCCGTAGAGTCAATTCCGAACATCTACTCCGGGGCCGAGGTGGAGGAGTAGGTATTGGCTCCAGGGTGGTACCCACACATGTCAACGGTCTATGGACATATACAATCGGTACGCCATCCAATAAGGATTCTTACCTATTGATTGAGCTCAAGACTACATATTATACACAAAATGAACAAATATGTAAAGCAAAAACTGAGAGATTCTATTAAGTATTACCTATCGCAAGGTGTTCAACCTCCACGGACGGAATATAAACCAGCCGTTCGGGACAATAACGGTAGACAACATTAGAGGGTCAATTTGGGTTGCAGGAAGAAACAAGTCAAGGGACGAGATCCAAAGCTCAAGCAACAAACAAAAAGAGTACCCATCCTCCCCACAGGGTATCAAACACAAAATCAAGAAACCAAAAAAAAAAAAAACGGCAGAGTGGTATCAATCTAGTTGGACGACACACCACGTAACGCATAATCGCGTCGCGAATAGAGTCACAGTCGCGGGACGCAGGTCGTAAAGGAATGAACCGCAGTCGATAGGGCTGCTGGCGTCGTTGGCGCCGATGGTATTATTTTTAGAAAACAGATTAAGGGAAAAAAAAAAAAAAAAAAAAAGGGCGACAGCGGGTATCTCATTGTCGCCATTGCAGGTCCAAGCCCAAAAATAAGGGGGGCCATGGAGTACTGCAAACAGCGACAGAGGCGAGGGGGAAAACAAAAACAAAATAACTAGAGCGAAGTGGTATCAAATTTGCACCTTCAGGACTCAATTAGACCGTCAGGGATATCGCGGGCGTGCGACGGATAGGACATGTCCCACCATCGTTCAAATTCCACGATACGGGTCCCAGTCGCACTTCATGCAGCAGCCTGAACAGGGGTGGCAGCGGCAACACTGACATTCTTAGACTCATGGACAGTCTCAGCGGCCTTGGGGGCCTCATCGATGACAGCAGGGGCATCCTCGGTGGCAGTCTCCTTGGCAGGAACGGCGGGGGCCTCATCAGCGGCCTCGGTCTCAGTGGCGGCAACCTCCTCCTTGTCGAGCTTGACAGCCTTGCTGGGCTTGCGGAAAAGGCCGCCGAGCTTGTTGGACTTGGCCTTGGTCTCCTTACCCTCACCATCGGTGACCTCGTTATCAGAGGACTCGGCCTTCTTCTCCTTCTTCATGCCAAGGTTGCCGAAGAACGAGGTACGGCGCTTTTCCTTGGGGGTGGAGACAGCCTCTGCGGGGGTCTCAGCGGCAGGGGTCTCCACAGCCTCAGCGGGGGCAGTCACGGCCTCAGCTTCAATAGGCTTGGCAGCAGCCTCCTCAACAGGGTTTTCGAGCTGAGGAGCGGTGCTGGCGACAGGAGTCTCTTCGACAGCGGGAGCGGTGGCCTCCTTCTCTGACTTCTCTTGGGAAGGGCTGGCGACCTTCTGGAAGAAGTTTCCGAAGATGGAAGCACGCTTGGCCTTCTTCTCGGCCTTCTTCTCATCCTTAACCTCCTCCTTGGCGGCTTCGGTAACCTCAGCAGGGGTCTCAGCAGTAGCCTCGGCAACCTCAGTGGGGGCAGCAGCGGTCTCGGTGATCTCAGCAACAACTGGGGCGGGAGCCTCAACAGAGGGCTCGGCAGCAGGCTCAGCGGCCTTGGTCTCCTCGGCAGCGGGAGTCTCTTCCTTCTTCTCCTCAGCGTCCTTCTTGCCTAGGAGAGAACCGAAGATGCTGGTGCGCTTGCGGGACTGGGAACGGCTCTTGGCGGTGACCTTCTCCTCCTTCTTCTCCTCCTTGGGCTCCTCCTGGGCAGCCTCGGCGGGCACAATGGGGGCCTCCTCCTTCTTCTCCTCGGGCTTCTTGACTGCGGCAACGACAACGGCAGGCTTAGTCAGCTTCTCGAACTCAGCCTTGTAACCCTCGCTGGAGATGATAGTCTCCTTCTCGGCCTTGGCTTCGGTGGACTGAGCCTCGATGGCGACAACCCAGCTGTCACGCTCAGCGGCGCTGGAGGCCTGGAAGGTGTGCTTGTGACCAGCAAGCTTGAAAAGGAACTCGTTGGTACCCTCTTTGGTCACATCAGAGACATCGGCCTATTGAACATATTAGTCATCGCATGGCAACATAGTTGCAAAAAAAAAAAAAACTTACGAGGTTCAGAATTCCAGCGGGGGTGGCCTTGTCTTCAGCGCGCTTGGTGAAGAAAAGCAGACCCTTGCCGGTCTGGCTGGCCCAGGCGGCGGTGGGGTTAGCGATAGCGGCCTTCTCGTTCTGGTGGAAGACGGAGAGGTTCTTGCTCTCAACAGCCTCCTCGTTGAAGTAGAAGAAGCGCTTGGCGAAGCGGAAGCCCCTGAAAGAAAAACAAAACAATTGTTAGTCTTTGCGTGTCGCTCTTGTGATCTTAGTTGCAGCTTACTTGACGAGACCAGGGGCCTTGTAGCCCAGAACGCCCTCAGTAGCGGGCTTCACTTCCTCCTTGACAGCTTCAGCACCCTCAGTGCTCTCCACAACGGGAGTAGCTGTAGGCTCAGCCTCGGTCTCCTTGGGAGCTTCAACAGCAGCCTCAGCAGGTGTCTCAGCAATAGTCTCAACGGCAGGGACGACCGCGGGGGTCTCCTCAACAGTCTTCTGGGCGTCAGACATGATTAATGTAATAAAGGTATTAAGTAGAGCTTAAGAGAAAAGAAAAAAAGCGGCGGGTTTGGGTATAGGGTATAGGGTATCTCAGAAGAAAAGCAAAAGAAATTAGAGCACACGAGCTCGGGTATCAAGTAGGAAGGGTATTTTGCTTTGTGTGAGGAAGAAGGGAAGAGAGGAGAGGAAAAGGGAAAAAAAAAGAGTCAAGAGGGATGTCGATGGCGTCCCAAAAAAGGAAAGGACCTGCAGGGAGCCCAGAGCTCAGTAGATCCACAATGATTAGCTAATTACCAACTTCAGGGGTTAATTTTTTTTTTTTTTTTTTTTTCCCTGGTTTCTTTCATTTTCTACTATGCACGGAGAGTATTATTTTCATATTATTCTCCCTTTTTTTTAACTATTCATTTCACTTTTTAAACCTATTCACATCACTCTTATTTTCAGTGAAGTAACTGCAATATATGGTTTGCAACTAACTTTCTAGTTCTGGTGGAACATAAGCCATATAGGTATATATATATGTACTTTGCATACTCCCTGTACTCCCTGTATCTACGGTCAACGGGTTACCTAGTTAATACGAACTTCTTTGTCTAGCACGCTAAACCTGGTCTAACTACATATGTAAATTTAGTTAGAAAGAAAACTCTGCAAATCTTGGCTTTTAGTATGAAACCATCACACCATGAGTTATGATCAGCCATGCAGCTTGAACGGTCCCCGTCTACAGAGTAGTCTTCCCTAATTTACCCGTTCGGATCCCTTTTACCGATTTGACACTCTTTCACTTCTTTTTTTGTCTCATTTGCATTCTATTCATACTATATTCTATACTAAATTGGAATATATTGGAATATACTTTGTATCGTCATAGGAAGTTTATGGATGGTGTCAGGTCATCAGACTGTCAAAAATAAAAATAAAAACCAGCACAATTTCATACTTCCTGGCCCCGTAAGGAGGTTCTACGATTGTTCGGTGGGCCGCCACACCGTTGGCGCTCATTCCACATCACTTCCATCTACTCCGTACTCCGTCCCCCGTTACACAGTTCAAAGGGGGGGAGGTACTCCGTAGTGGCCATCAGAAATACTAAAACGATCCATCTATTGTCAACATTTGAAATCAACTGAGCGTTTCCATCGTTCTTTCGTATCACTCCGCATATGTTGTCAACAATTTGATCCAAGCTTGCAAGCCTCTCCATCCCTCGGAAGGGCCATATTGGTACGGAGTGCTAAAATATCCCTTTGGATCATCCCTGTGGTACTCCATGCCCCGCACCTCAAGGCAGCCCGTCATTTTCCTTCGTGATGATCAGCCCAGTATGGAGTACATATGGACTTTGTCACATTCATTCACATGGCTTAGAGCAGGTATTGGTTACCAGGGCCATGTACCCATCTTTAGGTTCTGCAGAATGGTTGGCCATCACGACTTCCCGGTGCAATCTTTACTCAGACCCCATGACCTGATATCAACTCTATGATGGAGTGGCGTGCAAACCCTCGTGGACAACCAACCAGCTGTGATACAGCCCCTCCTTCTTGGCTCCGGCTTTGATGTGCATCCTATCGGCGTATCAACTATCTTTACCATGCCGCGGCAAGGATCCCATGATGCTTTTATCTAGCCAATCCTGGCACACTTCCACACTTACAGAGTGTCGCCTCTTTACGTGATCTACGCATCATTCCATACGAAGATCGTCTCATTATACTTCCAATCCACAGAGTACAAATCAGTGTTTTGTATACATTCTGTATGTATGCATAAAAGAAGAAACTAGAAACAAGATCCACAGGCTTGGGGAGAAAAATTTTCCCTAAATTAAGCCCCTTTTCTCTCGCTATTTACAACACACTCTACTCCGTAGACGCTACTTTTCTTCTAAATTTGTCAGTGATAATATGAAAAAAAAAAAAAAAAAAAGTACGTCTCCACTGGACCATGCATTTAGTTTCGAGTCTTGGCGAATACCTACAAAGTAGGGGTAGTTACAGAGTCTGAACCAGAGCATTTTGTCATTTCCAGTGGTTCATCCACCAGGTGTTGTTGTATGCAGTCCATGAGAACGGAGATTACCTTGGTACACGGTTTTTTTTTTTCTTTCTTTTTTTTTTCCTTATCGCACTATTTTAAATTTCTGAGATGGTACATACTCCGTAGCCGCATATGATTCCGATCTACACCATCAGGACAAGCACCAAATATGACCATCGAAGCCTTTCCAGTAATGATAGCCACACGGGGGAATCCACCCCCTGCTAGGTAACCCAATACACCCTATCATGTGTCCCCTTTTGCACCCGTTAGGGCCTCCAGGGCTACTAAGGGCCATTTGTGTCCGTAGCCCTGCCGCGCTCACCCTTTTTCGCGATCGCGAGCTCAAAGTCTCGGCCCTAGTCCCGCTACATCCTATGAATGGTCGGAATTTAACGGCCATTGGTGATCACATCATTGTTCCAATTAGGCTTGTTGATCTTTCTTTCTTCCTTGTTGCTGTATGCACTATGGAGTAAATTTTGACACCATGCAAGTGCCATGCGTAGCGGAGCCTGGGCGCCTAGGGATTCTTTCCCGCTTTTTCGGGATGCATATTGCTCCATCTGACTACATCACCCTCCGTAGATACAGAGTAGATGTGATTGTTCTGGGGACATACATTGTACCGCACATGATGCAGAAAAATATACGACGTTTCGAGCAGGAAAAAAAAAGATGAAACTAAAATATACAACTAGTGCCACAGCAGCACAGTTGGGTCCGCACAGGTACTTCGGTTTAAAGAAAGACAGAGCATATCTCCCGAGCGCATTACGGAGTAAGTTAATCTTAATACTTCGCGCCAAGGACCAATTCGACCTGCGGTGTACACAGAGGACGGATTTCCCGTCCATCTAAGCTCTCCAATGGCCCCGAGAGCTCTAGCGTCCATTAGATCGACTTAACCATGGCACAATTTAATAAGGATGGTCGTTTGCTTGATATTGGTTTGATATTAGCTCGATATTAACTGTGGATTTCTCACTTGATTCACTCTTGTAGAATACCCTGCTGAAAGTACGGAGTATACTTTGTACTTCCGATGGGCAGTATCCAAATCAAGTTGTGATTCAGACCTCTTTCGGGTTTTGGGTACGGAGTAGTACGGGAGGTGAGAGCCACAATACAAAGTTGTGGAATAGGGGAGGATCCACATAAGCTCGGGTATGGAGTCCGGCTTGTTTTTGAGGCGTCGAGTCGAGAACAAGGAGTTTTCAATTATTGATTCCCGTCTGTGATCTGTGTGTTCAAGACCCTCATTTTCACTGTGTCTGGCACAAGCATCTGTTTCAGAAACCTATGTTGTAGGAAATAAATGCAAGGTACCTGTGTCCTGTACGTTCTACGATGTACATACTCCGTAGAGACATTTCTCATCCTGACAGGTCAGAAAGATCCAAAAAAAAAAAAAAAGGAGGAGGGGGTAGATGAGTCATATCACATGCACCTGAATTTAGTCTGTATCACGTGATCTCGCTTGATGGCCAATCACAGACAGTGTGAAAACTGGGGTTCTGCCACCGTCTTCCTATTTTGTGTATAAATAGGCCCAGCTTTCCCGCCCTTCCTCTCCTTTTTCTTTCTTCTTCATACTTACCTTGTTTGGGTGACTGCGATCATAAAGGCGGTTCACCACAGTCTGGTCCCTGCATTGCACAGCGCGGCGGAACAGTCTGTTCAACGGCCTTCGGGTCATTGACAGGCGCATTCTTTGGCACTCTCTCCATTCGTGGAACCCTTTTCATCAAGATTTGAGCCAGTGGCTCGAGGTTGGAGAAGAGATGTAGATTGTATTTCATTGCTTTATATCTAAACCAGGCTCTCGGACGATAGTTCCTTCATCACATTTCTACCCGTCGCGTGTGTTTCACCACTCTTGTCACATTCACCTCATTCCATGGTGACCCTAGTTCACTGGCTTCAACGGCGGCTGGCTATCGTTATAAATAAATCATAGCATATTTACCTCGCGTTCATTCTACAATGCTCTAATGCCTGGTGTGTTATGAATTCTGGACTGCTCAGCTCTCACTTCCTGGTCCCGTTTTATTGACATGACGTTCTACTCACTGACTTCGCCACCACATGTGGCGACAAGGCACTAGGCCAACTTCCACCAAGATAAAACCCAGCCACGACACCCTACCAACACCAAGCTCACAGCAGCTCGAACTTTAGTCTACCATTATTACCTCCTTCAACTTAAACCCCTCGAAACCACTGCCGCACTTGCGACCAAGAACCTCAACATCAACCAAAATGCCCGTCCCCACCGCTGACCTCTTTGACAAGCAACAAAGCGAAGCCAACTGCACACAGCCTCCCAGCTCTGCTACACACACTTCCACCGACCAGAAAAACAACAACAGCTATTTTGGGACTGCGCCTGGCAACTCAACTACTGCGTGGCAGAACGCTGATAGTGGTCGCGCTCTGACCAAGGAGGAGGCCGATCGCCTATACGAGGAGCGAATGGAGGAAGAATACGCGAAGAGGGATGGTGGTGCCTAAGTTGAAAGCTGGTGTATGGCTGAACATCCATGGATACATCTGAATTTTTTCTTACCCTGCGGGCTTATCAGCTCCAGTCGAAAGGGTCTCAAGAGTCTACCGATGACGCCGGTCGGGCTTTCCTTTTGCTTCCTACAGCTATGTATTATGAGTGTACGGAGTAAATCATCAATGTCCAGATAATTTTTCAGTTCCCGGAGTGATGAGGGACACTGTATGTTAGAGCTTCAAATGAGCTAAACCATGCGTTCTTGTGGTCGAATTTATATGTCAATCTACATGTATATTGCTGTCGAGTTCTTTAAAAAAAACACAACTATTCGCTATCCCATTGTGTCCTTGTTATATATGGTAGGTATATTTGGTAGTACTATGACACAACCGATCTCGACCTACGGAGTACATTGTAGTCCACGTCCGGGCTGGGGGGTATAAAGCCCGGAGGAGACTCGCAAACCATGACTCACAAATATTCTACTACTCGCAAAATTAAGCCAATGACCAGACTTATGGTATGACTATACCAATTTTTTGGTGATAACCTGATCGGCGGTCTTCAAATCAAATAATATGAACAAAGGGAATTGCAGAGATATATAATTCTGCTTTCGATATACAACACAAATCTCGGTTGCAAGCACAACGCATAATTTGTCAAAATGAGCTTCTACCCTAATCAAGCTACATCCGTGGTCGTTCCGGCTGATTTGAAACCCATCCACACAAGTCGCCTGTATATGCGACCGCTGACAGTGGCTGATGCCGCGGCCATCTTTGAGATCCGACGACGACAAGACGTGGCAGACTGGCTGTAAGATCTTACCCCAGGAGCAACTACCGCGGTGTTCTGGTATAAAAGCTGACCTGTGACCATCTGTAGCTGGCCCAAAGTCCCCCACAAAGATATATCAGAGTCCGAGGCCATCATTGCTAAAAAAACATTCACCACACCAGATGCGTCAGGTGCTGTTGGGCGGAAGTTCTTCTTCGCCATCATCCGCTCCGAGGATGCATCGCAGAGGGTTATCGGAGGAGCTGGAATTAATGCACTTAGCCCAGCTCCGTCAGTTGGGTACAATATACATCCTGATTTTTGGGGCAAGGGCTATGCCACCGAGGCAGTTTCTGGCATTATAAATGCGTGGTGGAAGCTTGACAGAATGTGTGTTGACGGGACTACATCGGGGTTAGAAAAGGAGAAACTATTTGCGGCATGTAATAAAGCGAATGTTGGCAGCATGAAGGTACTACAGAGGACTGGGTTTGGTATCTACCATGAGCAGTCGATCGAGGGTGATGTAGTTGCACTTTTTGAGTTGGAAAAGCCCATCAGATAATATATCAGACGAAGTATCGACCTATTCGGTGATGTCTTGACACTTACGTGTCTGGAAATAAGAATTTGTCTGTTTTATCTTGCCGCATCTACATAGTCTTATAAAACTATCCATGGGCACATGTGGAGTATTTGAACATGTTTTGGAGGATTAAATACATAGTATTCCCTTGAAAGGCCTCATGGATGACTTTGTAACCTTTTGATGCTACATGTGAGTCAATGAATACAGCTGTCTGTGAGAAGGTAATATCTCAGAAACCGAGCCCTGTATAGGGATCTGACGGATATAGTCATGGAATATGACACCCAGATTACAAAAGATGTGAAAGCAATGCGCAATATAAAGCGCTCGAGAGAAATTGCCCTTAATAATAATATATCCCCGTCGGAATTTTACGTCCATATTGAAAACAATGTTCGCCTTAGAGCAGCAGCAATTCAGATCGTGGGAATCCAACCCTGCAAGGCTTGCAAAAAGTATCCTCGGCCATTCACAGAATGTATAATACTCCCTGGAGGTTGTGCAAGCTGCATATGGAGAAATTTCGGACCCCAGTGTAGCATCATCAATGGTATACTCTCAAATGCAACAGTTATTTTATGATATATACGCTAACAGCGAATTTATAAAGGATGTGGTTCTCCCACGGTATCAAAGACTCCTGAAAGCCAAAAATGCCAAGCTGATTCTCCAAGGAAAGGTGACCAAGCTCAAACGAGAAGTGAGGAATTTTGACAAGAGCTTCGAAGTCATCCAGTTGGCCATGCTCGATTTTTCAATGGACAGCCCACTAAAGCACAACAATCTCAAATTAATAGTGGTTTGATCTCTCTGAAATGTCATATTGATGAAGTGTCTGAAGCTATGAAGCGTGTTTCTTTGAAGAAAGACGGCGAGGATGACGGCGAGGAAGATGATGAGGAAGACGACGGGGAATGTGACGGGAATGAGGATGGAGGCAACGAGGAAGAGGAGGAGGCGAGGATGAGGACGAACGAGCAACTATCACGATATGTCAGTGGCTTGTGGGGAAAAAGCATTCTTTCAAGTCAGCCCTTCGATCTGTGGTGATACCATCTGTTTGACAACTGCTATATGAGGTAAGGTGAGAAAGCGAAGAAGGAAGTGTTGTATGGGGTGTGAGGCTATCTCCAAGGCTTAGAGAAGCCGAGTAGCCCTGATGGGCTCCAAGGTGCTCAAAATGATATTCAATCCATTGAGATAGTGGAAAATATATTGTAGGGAATGTTATATTCTATACATTCACAATAGATGTGAATAGGGTGTTATGGACTTTGCTAGACTATAGCGAACACATATCAGCAAGGTAGTGGAATATAGAATCATATTTCAAGGTAAATCCAGCTGTTGAATACGATGTAGGGAGCCACCAGTTCTGCATTTACATGACAGGTCCTAGATATAACAACGAGTCTTTCTTCGCCATGTACTCAGAATCTCAACAGGTATTGGGGGGTTGCTAGAAAAATCTCGACCATGGACTCGACCAAAAGATTACATGTATGTATAGAAACCATTAGGTAGAAACTACTATCGGATTGTTCTGATACCACTCATTGTGGTAGTATATTATATAGGATCTAATAACCCTTGGGGACCACATATTTTGTAGCAGTTGGGGAAGCCTGCTCCTATTCCCTGGTGGGCGATTAGGACTGATTCAGACCCCTAGATTATAGAAAAATACAGATAAAACAATGATCATAAGTCCCAATTCTTTACCCGGGTTTAGTTGTAATCGAGAGTGGCTTATGATTGTTGTAGACCTCAGGAAGGGAAGACACTTTGTTTAGTCGTCATGAAATCACGTGAGAATAAAATCACGTGGATAGATGCAGCCAGCTTGACAGAGCCACCCGCGAACGAGTCCAAGTAGAGCCCGGACTATCTGCAACAACAGACCCGAAGATCTGTGCCTCTCATTGAATCTATCTGTATACTGTCGCTCTTTAGCTTTCTCCTTTCCCCTGTCTCCTTACAGAAACAGACGGCTCCTGGTAGCCTCATTACACCATGGCTCCGCGGGACACCTTCTTCCGCTCGGCGGATATGAGCTTGACCCAGCTCTATATTGCCAACGAGATCGGAAGAGAGGTTGTTAGTGCTTTAGGTGAAGTTGGTCAGGTTCAGTTCCGAGATGTAAGTGGCGAAGAATGCTTTGCTTTGATACTCCCCGCTGACCTCTTTCCAGCTCAACCCGGACACGAACGCTTTCCAAAGAACCTTTACAAAAGAAATCCGTCGCCTGGACAATGTCGAAAGACAGCTCCGCTATTTCCACCAACAAATGGAAAAGGCCACAATCCCCATGAGGTCTTCCTCGGACTTCTCCGATACATTGGCTGCCCCTTTAGCATCGGAGATCGATGAGTTGGCAGATCGCAGCGAGAGCCTTGAACAGCGGATTATCTCTCTCAACGATAGCTATGAGACTTTGAAGAAACGCGAAGTCGAGCTGAGCGAATGGCGATGGGTACTTAGAGAGGCTGGTGGATTCTTCGACCGAGTAGGTGACTTCGAGTATACTGCCGTTGATAGAGGAGGCTAACTGAATAGGCCCATACTCAAACAGAAGACATTCGTCAGTCTTTGGACAATGATGAAGCTCCCTTGCTCCGCGATGTTGAGCACCACGCCCCTCGTCAAAATGGAGACACTCAGGGTCAGCAGAGCTTCTCGGAAATGAACATTGGATTTGTTGCTGGTGTAATCCCCCGGGATCGCATCGGAGCCTTTGAGCGTATCCTCTGGCGCACCCTGCGTGGAAACCTTTACATGAACCAGTCTGAGATCCCGGAGCCCATTATCGACCCGATGACCAACGAGGAAGTCCACAAGAATGTTTTCGTCATCTTTGCTCACGGCAAGAACATCCTTGCCAAGATTCGAAAGATCTCGGAGTCACTTAACGCCTCCTTGTATGGTGTCGATGAGAACAGCGAGTTGAGAAGAGACCAGATTCACGAAGTGAACACCCGTCTCGGCGATGTTGGCAATGTGCTCCGTAACACAAAGAATACCCTTGATGCGGAACTTTCGCAAATTGCTCGCTCGCTCGCCGCGTGGATGATTATTGTCAAGAAGGAGAAGGCTGTTTACGATACCTTGAACAAATTTTCGTACGATCAAGCGCGAAAGACGCTGATCGCCGAGGCGTGGTGCCCGACAAACTCTCTTACTCTGATCAAGTCAACACTTCAGGATGTGAACGACCGCGCGGGTCTCACTGTTCCCACGATTGTCAACCAGATCCGAACCAACAAGACTCCCCCTACTTTTGTCAGGACGAACAAGTTCACCGAAGGATTCCAAACAATTGTGAATGCTTATGGTATCCCCAAGTATTCGGAAGTTAACCCTGGTCTGTACACGGTCGTCACTTTCCCATTCTTGTTCGCGGTCATGTTTGGTGATTGTGGTCATGGTGCACTGATGACCTTGGCCGCTTCTGCTATGATCTTTTGGGAAAAGAAGCTGGCGCGGACTAAGCTGGATGAACTGACATACATGGCATTCTATGGACGATACATCATGTTAATGATGGGTCTGTTCTCGATCTACACTGGTTTTATTTACAACGATATTTTCTCCAAATCTTTCACCATTTTCCCTAGTCAGTGGCAATGGCCCGAGGACATCAAGCTCGGCAAAATGGTCGAGGCAACATTGAAAGAAGGCTATCGCTTTCCATTTGGTCTGGACTGGAACTGGCATGAGGCGGACAATTCCTTGCTCTTTTCGAACAGTATGAAGATGAAGATGAGTGTTCTCCTTGGATGGTGCCACATGACCTATGCCCTTTGCTTGCAGTACGTCAATGGACGGCACTTTAAGTCGAAGGTCGACATCTGGGGCAACTTTGTTCCTGGATTGCTCTTCTTCCAGTCCATCTTTGGTTACCTTGTCCTCACCATCCTCTACAAGTGGTCTGTGAACTGGCAGGAGAAGGGAGTGAACCCCCCCGGCCTCCTCAACATGCTCATTTTCATGTTCCTGAGCCCTGGTACTGTAGAAGAGCAACTGTATCCTGGTCAGAGCTCGGTCCAGGTTCTTCTGCTCCTCGTCGCTGTGGCCCAGGTACCTGTTATGCTTTTCCTCAAGCCGTTCTGGCTCCGCTATGAACACAACCGTGCTCGTGCCCTGGGTTACCGTGGCCTCGGCGAGAACTCCCGGGTGAGCGCACTTGACGCCGATGGTGACATGGATGGCGGGCTGGGTCGGGACAGTATGGCTAGTGACGGAGAAGGTGTGGCCATGCTTTCTCAGGACATCAATGAAGGTGAAGAGCACGAGGAGTTTGACTTCGGTGACGTCATGATCCACCAAGTCATCCACACCATCGAATTCTGCCTCAACTGTATCTCTCACACGGCCTCTTACCTTCGTCTGTGGGCTCTGTCGCTTGCCCACCAGCAACTCTCAATTGTTCTCTGGACCATGACCATTGGTGGTGCCTTTGACTATGAGAGCCCCGTGATCCGTGTTATCATGATTGTTGTCAACTTCTATCTCTGGTTTGTGTTGACGATTTGCATTCTCTGTGTGATGGAGGGTACTAGTGCCATGTTGCACTCGCTTCGTCTTCACTGGGTTGAGGCGATGAGCAAGCATTTCGTTGGCGAGGGTATTCCTTTCCTACCCTTCAGTTTCAAGACCCTGTTGGAGGAGGACCCCGTGGACTAGTTTCTTTCCAGTGTTTTTTGCTCTCTACAATGTACGGGACTGTCTCACTTCCCGTTTCTTTTTTTGTATTGTAAAGGGTCTAGAATTATACATTATCTACATTTGTATATTGTACTCCGTACTCCGTTACTAATCCCACCTGTTATGTTCCATGTAGATCCCTATCCACACCGAACTATTATTTATAGCGTTGATAGCCCCCTCAATTATTAGGTACGCCAATGGAATTACCTAAATTTCACGATCTTTTCAAGTGCGCATGACTATGTAGGTGGGGTATAGGGAATTTATTATTCCGTTGCTGATCCCGAGGGCAAGTCGGGCAAGTCGGGCAAGGGACAGACCGGGAGGATCTAGACCATTGGACAGCGTATCTTTGATTAGGTTGGCCATTTTAGTATGAACGTGTAGCTAATTGGAGAGAGTATAGGGGTTTATCGCTAGAATATCAAATTCCTGCAGCGATCAACAATGATAGATGATTTTTGATAGGAAGATCTATAGTTAAAGAGACGGGCATTCCCGGCAAGGGGGGGAAACCGGATGAGGGGCGAGGCCCCTCGGCAGGGTCACGCGGGGCAGAATGACGAAAACGCCGCAAGTCGGGACTGTGAGGTCATATTCCGTACTTCTACCCGGTTTAATCCCCCTTCACTGACGTTGAACTACTTTTTTTTTACTTTGTCTGCCTTGTTTCAAAGATTGTCAATTCTAATATTTAACCTACTCTTCATTTGAAACTCAATTGATTATACCTTTAATCTTCCTACCCTATACCCTCCAATACCCCAAAATGGCTTCAGCACCCCCCGTCGGAGCGGAGAACATCAACACTGATATCGTCACACTTTCCCGTTTCTTCACAGAAGAACAGATTAAGCACCCCGAAGCCTCGGGTGATTTTACTCTTCTGTGCCATGCCCTCCAATTCTCCTTCAAGTCAATTGCCTACTACATCCGTCGCGCCTCCTTGATCAACCTTACCGGTTTGGCCGGTTCCTCGAACATAACCGGAGATGACCAGAAGAAGCTGGACGTGATCGGCAATGATATCTTCATCTCCGCAATGCGCGGCTCTGGTAAGTGCCGCATTGTTGTCTCAGAAGAAGAGGAGGAGGTGATCAGATTCGACGAGCACCCCAATGCTCGCTACGCTGTCGTCTGTGATCCTATCGACGGTTCCTCCAACCTGGACGCCGGTGTGTCCGTCGGCACCATCTTCGGTGTCTTCCAGCTCCCTGAGGAGGTTCTGGGTCCCAACAAGACTGTCGGTCCAAAGGACTTGCTCCACCCAGGTACCAGCCTGGTGGCGTCCGGCTTCACTATGTACGGCGCCTCAGCGCAGCTGGTGATCACGATGCGTGGTG